GCTTTGACCCTTCACAAAAAAGTGATAGCACGAAACTCTCTCTCTCCATTCTGTAAGGCTGTTTTGGAGTTTCTTTTATTTGTGCACACAATAATTTCCCTAATTTTCCTGAATGTCTCAACGCTTTCACTTATCGCAATTTCTTTGAAGAATGAAAATTGAAAGTGAAAAATTCCAGATATGAAGGAAATAATACAGGCGATCATTTTTCGGTTGCAGCAAGTGCTGTGGACCATAGTGACAGCAATAAGTCTGATAAAGGATCGCTATACTTATGGCAAAGATGGTTTCGAAGTCAAAAATCACCGGAAGCCAAAATGTCTCGAAGGCTGGGATGAGCGATATATTCAGACAAAGGTTAGTACAATACTCTTCCGATTTTTTCTCAAAATTTGTTGGCTTGTTGAAATATTTCTAAACAATTTCAGCTTTTTAAGATGTACCTCAGCTGTGACAATCATGACTATAAACGAATACATTCGAGAAATCCAGTATTATCAACATTACTATTTCTAGACAGTTCGTCTTCACTATGTGCAAACGGGTGGTGATGATAGACCTTTGCTTCTGATGTTACATGGATTTCCCGAATTTTGGTACTCATGGAGATATCAACTGAAACATTTTGCTGACAAATATCGGTATTGGAATTTTTCGATACGTGCTGTCAAAAATATGAAATAATTTTTAGATGCATCGCGCTAGATCAGCGCGGCTACAATCTCTCTGATAAACCAATCCATACCGAAGATTATCACATAGATTACCTTGTTGATGATATTCGAGAGGTGGTGGAAAGGCTAGGTGAGCTAATATCACTTCAATCTCACACACAAATATTGGTTTTCGTACATCACATACTACATTTCGTACATTAAGACTTGACTGTCTTAGAGCATAGATTTTTGTTTTTCTTGAACATTATCTTTAAAAAAATCCTCTGCCTTTGCATAGAGCAGAGATGATCCCATATTTCTTCTCAAGAAAGTCATTTTCAGGGTATAAAAAGATTTTCCTAATGGGACATGATTGGGGAGCAGTTGTTGCATGGCAGGTGAGCAATTTTAGATTCATTTCTTTTTTTATCAAGTAAAAATAAGAGAAGCAAACGTTGCAAATTGGTATTCTGATAAACAGTAAATTCTAGTTTGCATTGGTTTATCCTGAGCTTGTTGAGAAGCTTGTTATTCTAAACGTGCCACATCCATTGGCTTTCCCGGCGACTAATTTCCAGCAATTGAAGAAGAGTTGGTGAGTTTTTTAGTTTTTAGTTTTTTTTT